AATGAGAGAAGCAAGTATCTTCGTGGATATGAGGTTCTAGGGGATGGAGGGGTGAATTTGCTCAGTCAACCACAAACGCTTTGGAGGAGCATCAATTGAGCACCAGGCAGTGGAAGCAAAAGGAACTGCACACAGCCCCTGCCTTCCTGAGCCTCACAGACCAGCTGGGTGGATGCGTGTGCTGGGGCGTGGATGCTCTGTTTATTCCAATCGTCACATGCAAATTGTCACATGGTGCAGTCGTAGCCTAGGCATAGGGCTGCATGCAGGAGAAATCATCAAATTAGCTCCAGAAACGGGCATTTATTTCTTTCGAATTCCAGGGGCTCCAAGACAAAGCAGAATAAAGAGGACAGCTTTGCAGAGCTCGGTAGCGGGTGTCTGAAGACCTTCACCCCAGTGAGCCAGACTTAGGGTGACTTACCTCTCACATCAACAATTAACAAAACCACGATCAATGGAATGCATGCTATGAAATAAACGATGAATGCTAAGTCTCAGGGATGAAAAGGAATCAGATGCAGGGAGAGCCAGGGAGATTCTTCCAGGCAAAGGCTCCGAGGTCAGAAAGACTCGAGTGACAAGCGTAGTGAGCTAGGGGGACAGTGGTACAAAATGAAGCAGAGGCAGACTGTGCAAGACGGTGGGCTTGTTCTTCTACGTCTAGAACTTAGAAGACGCCATGTGCACCAACGGTCCAGCATGAGCCTGATGGTCCATGGTGCCAGATACACATCAGTAGAGCGATGGACCATTTTCTAAAGACTCTGGTTTAAATCGCTCCCAACTCCTTTACCAACATGGCTGCTGGGCTCCTTCCTGTCTCTGAGTCTGTCTCCATCAGTATACGATGAAGGTGCTGGAGAAAATGGTCCCGAAGTTGCCTTCTAGGACCCGATAGTATTTCGATTACAGGGTGAAACAACCATATACACAGGGTTTCCTGGGACAGTTCCAATGTATGCCACTTGTCCCAGTTTTATTGTTCATAGCACCCTCTTTCACTCTTAAGTGTCCTAGTTTGGACATTAAATGATAAGGTTACTCTATTTATGGGAGAAGGGTGGTACATACGACAGTATTGTCAGCAGTGGGTTAGGCTCTGGCTTGGTTCTTACTAGGTTTTTTTTTCTCCGAGCAAGGATGGTTTTGCACTTTCCGAAATGCCCAGGCAATCTTTGATGGGTACCAAATACACATGGTACCGTTTGTTCATTGTGCTTAGAAAGATCAGACACTCAGTAAATATGGCGGAGGCTGGTGGCTACAAATGGGCCATTGCACTGACTGGGCCTTGGGTGGCGTTTCGCTGATAGGGAGGGATGGCAACCGGTGACGCTGGGAAAATTATAGCCCATCCCTATGAAATGAACCCATTTTCTGGCTTGGTTCTTAACATCATCTTCCTGGGGTGAGAGGCAGTGGCTACCTTAAGAACGTGCAGAAGGGAGGGTCCTGAAACAGAACGCACAGTACTGTCAAATTCCATAGTTGTGGCCACCAAAGGGAGAGAGCTATAGATGACAGACAGCTCTGGAGCCCCTCCCCCAACAGTTTATATGTGTCTCCCAAGAAATGAGTTGTAAGTGCATATTAGTCTCCACATAGGCACGTAGGCTTGCAATAAAAGGGTGTTAGGCAAGTGGGAAAGGATGGATTCTTGACTAGTTTACCAGAGCTCACCTAGGGAGGAGCAGTGGTGCAGCTGGGGGAAAGAAACGTAGACTAGTAACCCTTTTGGTTTAAATCAAGTAGATTCTAACCAGGCCCGACCCTGCTTAACTTCCAAGATCAGACAAGAGCGGGCACGTTCAGGGTGGCCGTAGACTCAAGTAGATTCTAGAGGTTAATTGAGCTCAGACTTCCTGTCTGAGGTCTGGACCTTTGGTATGGTATGTGGGTGAACATAAGGAGACACAGCTGGGAAAAGCCCCTTTTCTCATGTTAAGAAAAAAAAAATTCTTTAAGATCCTAGGAGGCACCCCAGCAGTTTCTAAAGTGAGTTTCTCAAAACCTCAGTGGCTGCACCACAGTCAGGGGAAAAGAGGCAGAAAGGTAGAAAGGGCCCCAGAAACCTGTCTTTGCTTTCTTCTCTCCTGGTTGGATATTTTGTTTTGTTTTGACTTGATTTTAAGATTCTGGTGTGTGGGAATAATCTCACTGAAGAGGAAAATGACTAACGCTTGGTCAGTTTGTTTACTGAACAAACACGCTCACACACATTCATTTGCAGAGTGCTGACTGTGGAGTTAGGTGTCAAGGATGCAAAGATGAATAACATAGAAATACTGACCACCCTCCTTCCATGCAGCAGCTCACAGCGAAGTGGGGCAGAGAGATGTAAACAGATAAATTACTGTGTCTTCTGAGGAGTGCTGTAACAGAGGTGTGAGTGTACACACACACACAGCTCTGTAAATAGAGCTGCTCTTAATGTCTCACAAGGTTTATTCCCAGGACCCCCCCCCTCCCCTTTTGTATCCCTTTATGTATTTGCATATATGCTGACTTTCTTTTTATTGAGGTGAAATTCACATCACATAAAATTAACCATTTTAAAGTAAACAATTTGATGGCGTTTAGTACTTTCACAATGTTATGCAACCACAACCTATGTCTACTTGCAAAACATTTTCATCACCCCTCCCCAAATAAAACTCGCAGCCCCTTGAGCAGTTATTCCCCATTTTCTTCTTCCCCCAGCTCCTAGGAAGCATGCATCCACTTTCTTCTCTAGAAATTTACCTTATCTGGATATTTCATATAAAAGGAATCACATAACATATGCCCTTCTGTGTCTGGCCTTGCACTTAGCATAACGTTTGGAGGTTTACTGAAACATTGTAACATATATCAATACTTCGTATTTTCCTTTTCATGGTTGAATAATATTCCATTATGTGGATCTACCACAATTTGTTTATCCTTTCTTATTTTGGTGGACATTGCTTCTTTTGGTGGACCTTTGGGCTGTTTCCACCTCTGGCTATTGCAAATAGTGCTTTGTGAATGTGCGTGTACAGATTTTTGAGCAAATATCTGTTTTCAACCCTCAGTGTATATACCTAGGAGTGGAATTCCTGAGTCACTTGGCAATTCTACATTTAACTTTTTGAGGAACCACCAAGCTGTTTTCTACAGTGGCTGAGCCACGACAGCCTTTTTTTGAAGATCCACAAAGCTCTACAATTTTGATGCCCCCTCCTTCCATAACTTAACTGAAGAACTTCAAAAAATAGAACCTTGCTTTACCAATACACCAAAAAGTCTAAGCACCTTGATTGGCCCAGTGGGTCAGAACTTGTGCTAATGAGGCTAAGGTCAGGGTCAATCCCCAGCTGGCCAGTTTGCTGAATAAAGTGGACAGACTGAAAAATTGTGTCTGCGGCCACATACTCCCCCATCTAACGCTGTCCTGCCCTCTTGCAAAAGCTTTTTATTGGTCATAGGGGAATGGAGCAAGTGTGTGTGATTAAGGCTGCCCAGCATTCAAGGCCTCCCGAAGATACAATAAGACTAACTCAGAATCAGCTTCCTGGTTTCACCTGGTTTCTGTGGGCTCCTTGGATAAACTGCTGAAACCTGCCCATAGCCTCAGTTGCCTCATCTCTAAAATGGGAATCATACGCCTTACTCCAAAGCTATGATAATGCATACTGAGCACTTTGCACACAGTAGGCTTCCAATAAATGCTGCTGAATCTCAAGGGTGGGTAACCTGGATTATGCAAGGGCTTCTGCAGCAGGCTCTGAGCGGCTCTCGGGAGGTTGAAGAGCTGGAATGGTGGTGCACGGGTTACATTGGCTGTTTTAAATTGTCCTATTTGCATGGAATGAAGCTTGCTATGGTAACAAGGTCTGGTGGCTGGAATCCAGGGCCCCAGTGAAAAATGCAGAGCCTGTGCTCTGGGAGAAAGAGGCGCTGGATGGGTTTATCAACTTTCAGGTTACCTCACGTCTCCCTGGAAGCGTGGGTAAGCTGAGGCAGCGGGGCTTCAACACTCCAGAAGGAGGAGAAGGGGGGAAGCCCCGCGGAAGCCTCCCAGCTTTCTCTCCAGGCCTCACGCTGCTCGCCCTGAAACCCAGCTAAGGAGCTTGGGACCTGGCTAAGGCCACCCGTCCACCTCCGGCGCACACACCGGGTGTCAGGTCAGAGGGGAAACCGGAGAGCGAGCGGACCGCTCTGGGGAAGGGCCGAGCGTTCCCTGGGGGAGGACAGCGAAGGTTGGGGCGGCGAAGTGGGGGGAGAGAGGCACGCGGGGCAGCAGCCCAGCGCCCCTCTGCCATTTCCTCCCCGCATTGGAAGGGACCGGCAAGGCAAGAACTCTCCTCCCGAGCTCGCCCCGGGGCGCCATCCTCGCTCCCCGCCCTCCCCGTGGGCCCCCTTTCCGAGCACCCCTTTCCCCAAGCACCCACCTCCTTCCCAGACCCAGCACGGCGCGGGGCGCTAGTTCGCCAGGGCGGGGGCCGCCCCACCGCTCCAGGGAGGGGACCGAGGGCCGGCCTTAGAGCAGGCGCCCCCCACCCCAGGCCAGGGGCGCCCCCTTGGCCCACTCAGCGCTGCCGCCTGCCGCCCCTGTCCCCCGGGGGGGGTGTCCCCGAAGTGGGGGGCGCGGGAGACTGAGCGTGCGCCAGGCCCCCCGGCCCGGGCCCCCTCCCGAGCGCGCGGCGAATGGTAGGCTCCATTGAAAGAGTGCCGGGCGGCGCGCGGTGTCCTCCCCGAGCGCTCTCGGCGCCGGGGTCTCGGCGATCGCTGCTCCTCCTCCCTCGCCTCCTCTTTCTCCTCCTCTTCCTCCCCCCTCCGCCTCGCTACCGCCGCGGCTCCGGCTGGAGGCGCCGCTGTCATTCCTACGCCGGAGGAGCCGGCGCTGCCGGTGCCTGGGGGTCGGGGCGCGGGGGAGCCGGGCCGCGGGGGACCCAACAGGTAGAGCTGGGGGTGTCCGGCCACAGGCCCCCCCCCCCGCGCATCATGCAGCTCTTTGTCACCTCTCTCGCCCCCAGGCCAAAATCCTGAGCATGATGGAAGACAATAAGCAGCTCGCGCTCCGCATCGATGGGGCGGTCCAGTCCGCCAGCCAGGAGGTGACCAACCTGCGAGCCGAACTCACGGCCACCAACCGGAGACTGGCGGAACTGAGCGGAGGCGGCGGTCCCGGCCCGGGCCCCGGAGCGGCGACCAGCGCCTCGGCGGCGGACTCGGCGGCGGCGAACATGGAGAACCACCAGCACGGCGCGCAAGGTAGGGCTCGCTCTGCGCCCCGGGCAGAGGCGAGGCGAGGCGAGGCGAGGCGAGCGAGCAGGACCCGGCCCCGGAGGTGGCCGGGGACTCGGTGTCCCTCATGCCCGGGGCCACATCGCCTTGCCTTGTGGCTGGTCACCCTTTCCGCCCAGAGGTGGCCACCGCTGCTCCCCTGCTGGGAGTTGCAGGCTGCTGTCATTCACGAAAACCCGGGCGGGCGCTGTGGGCGCGGGTTCACACGGTCATACCGGCCCCGGGCGGCGTGAGCGAGGCGCAGCCGGCGGGCCCCTTCCGGCAGCAGAAAGTGCCCTTTAGATGGCACACAGCCCCCAGCTCCGTGGGCAAACTTTTCATGCCCGGGCCTTAGCCCCCACCCCCGGCAGGAGCGAATGCCACCGCTCCCCCCAGTTCCGGAGGGGTGGGCGGGGGGCTGCTTCCTTTGCCATGACTTTCCCCGAGAGCGAGCCCCAGGCTCTGCTGCCGGGTTTGGGGCAGAGGCTTGCTTGGGCTGCTTTGCACTTCTCTCCACGGATGCCAAATCCCTGGGCTCAGTTGCATCTGGACTTTATTTTCTCCCCATTGGAGATCGCGCAGGCAGTGGAATATATCGATGCGACAGTAGATGCCCTGCTCAGCAGGGAGTTTAAATTTCCAGCAAATATAAACACCGAGAGCACTTTCCAGGGGGAAATCTTAGACCTTAGAGGCTAAGTGATGGGCTCCTGGGCGAAATGAGGGCTTAGATGGTGGGCTGCAGAGCTGCTCCCGGAAGGGACACCACAGTTTCTCCAGGAGGGGAGAAAAGACAGCTGGTCTGTGTTGACATTGACAGTGATGGAGCTCGCAAACCCCTTGCAAGGGTTAAAGGTGGGGGAAGCATCCAAAAAAAATGTACCGTTTGTTTTCTGTGAATTGAAAAGTAAAAGGGTAAAAGCTGGCTTTTCAGATTTTTTTTTTTTTTGCCTAATTGCCCTTTAAGAAACCAAACCGGTGGTGTCACTGGTTATTAATATCATTTGAATTGTAAACTCCACTGCTGAAATCCAGAACACGACAGGAAAAAAAAATCCAGTCCAGGAGGGCCACTTGTATAAATATGTCACTTGCTAAAGTATTAGGTATCTATGGCTCAGTGGCGCAAAAGGATTTTCTGGTTTTGTTGTTATTTCAAGAGCTTCTCCTAAGTGTTGAGGGGGACTCTGTTTTCATATTAATGCTGTGTCTCCATCAGTTTCTATTCCCTCCTTCATTTCCTGGAGAAGCAGTGATGCTGGGGTGTGAGAGGTGAAGGCTGAGCGTGAGCAGTTTTACGTTGAATTCCGTCAGACTTTAACTTGGCACTTCAGGCATCTGTCCAGAGTCTGAGATTAGGGGCAGTAATTTGGTACCGAAGTAGCCATGACGTAATGGTGGGAAGGTGGTGTAAGCCTGGTGTTTACCGCACGGTTTTCAAGGTGGGTACCTGGTTATTCTGTCATATATCCCTTGTGTTTGTCATTGTGTGTGGCCGACCTTCTCCACTAGTCCCTGGGCAGGGTCTTCTTCCAACATTAAGAAACAGCCAAGAACTGGCATTTTGCGAAGAATCAAAAACCATGGGAAGGGGTTCAGAGGGTAGGGGGGAAGGCTGAACAATGCTGGTTTATTCCCCACCATCGGCCCCTTTCCTCAGCTGAGGAAAAGTTAAGTAGCTTTTATCGGAGTCCAGAGTCTAGCTGCGGACAGCATGCTAAGGAGATCAGTGCAGCAATCATCTACACACTGAACTTGGAAGTTGAGCTACTTAGCCAATGGTTAAATTGTTGTAGTGAAGCAACAGGAGGCTGCTTTCTTTTCCTCTTTTCCTGCAAAAATGCACAAGGCTGTAGAAATGGAACTGGCTTTGCGATCTCTTGATAATCCTTAAAAACACACAGGACCAGCAGCAGCTCCCTACGTTTGGGGCATGTCTGCCCATGTCAGCGGCTGTCTGTGGGTGGTAGGATGAAGGAAGGTCTTGCTGTTTTCCTCTGTGGACCACTGGTATGTTTCAAAACCTTTCCTAGGGGGCATTTAGTGATTTTACAATCAGAAAATAAATGTTAAAGGTTTTCACTCAACTTAATTGTTGGCCACATAGCCCTCTAAATTGATGTGAATTTAAACCCATGTGATGGTTGAAAAGAAAAGCAGCCCCCCGCCCCCAAGGGGAGCATCATTAACTCATGGAGAGCCACAGGATTTCAGTCCAGCACTTTGTACATGATTTAACCTCTGTGAGTTTTGGGTTTGGTTCGGTTTGGTTTTTCTCATGACCTTTTCTCAGCATTTGCTAGAGCAGATACACACCCTCTGCAGAGGTGGCGTGTTCATTTCTTCCGTGAGTCCTTCCGTATTCCTAAAGGGAAGCACTGAGTTCTCTCAAGTTAATTTTCACATGTGGTTGATGGTTTTCTCATGCATCTTCATCATATACCTCCAGGAAGGCTCACAGCAGCAGCCCAGCTCCTGGGGGCTCCTGACTGTTCTTCTGAATTGGTCTTCTGTTTTCATTTTGTCTGTGTAGGTCCGATTCAGCGGGCCCGAACGCCAATGAGTATTTCGTGCTATTGAGTTATCACTTTTCAAATCAAGGTTTTGAATGAAATGAGTATCTTTCAAAAGGCAACTGTATAAGTCATCTTTTCACTAAGGAGCATTATGCACATATTAAATGCATGCTAATGTACTTATAATAATATTAGCACAAATGGTTATGGCAGAAGGGTCACCTTTTGCTCTCCCTCCCAAGAAATTGTTAGATACCTTTTCAAATTTTTTGGTTTAAAAAACATGTCTTAAACAAGCTCAGCAATCTACCACTGGGTGTTTTGTTCCAGTGATGACATCTGACAGTAGGTAAGTTGATGAAGAAAACCTGGGTTTTCATAGCGGGTTAATGCAGTGTGTCATTTAAGCAAAATATTAACTTGGTTGGTACCCTGTGTGAGCTGGCATGGTTGCTATGTAACAGAGTCTAGAAAGTGAACTGCTGAAAATCTGGGCTTTCGACACTTTGCAGGATCTTCTTTCGGAATCTGTGTTGAAAGAACGCTTGGCAGCCAGCCCATCCTCCGTCTCCCTGCTTCAAGTGAGTTGGATAATCTCTAATGAGGAGGCCGGCATCCAGTGCAGAGGGCATCTGTGCAGGGTGGCACATTTCACAGCTCCGGAGGCTGCCTCTTGGGTTGGTGGGGTCAGAACTGCCTTTGACAGGTGGACAGACGGTGCCTTGGAAAGAATTAAGCCAAGCACTTGTTCCAATCCGTCTTGTTGTTGGTAGCCAGAGAACGGATTTGTTTAAAGTAACATTTCTAAGCTGTTTTCCTCAGCGTAGCATCTCTGGGAAAATGTGTTTAAAAATCCTTGCTGTTCTTTGAGGGGGAAAATATAGCAGTTTGCTTCTCCGAAAATGTTTTATCTGATGAATGACTAATATTAGATTCAATTGGTTGCTTTGCTATTCGGAGAATAAAACAATTAAGCGCCACTGGACTCAATTCAAATAGGTGTTAACTGTATATAACATAAAATACTTATGCCCAACAGGATGCCATTAGTTTGTTGGTTTTTTTTTTTTTAAGGAAATAAGGTATTTATATGCCTATGCAAGTAGAAAGGCTGATAGGACCTTTCTTTGGTGGTGAGGACTTACTGCCTACTGCATTTGTTAGGATGGGGCATGGAGATGTGTCATTTCCTACACCTTTATACGTTTCCATAAATAGATACAAATTTTATTTTTTCCTCCCCAGGCTCGAAATAGGCTGTTACTTCAGGTCTGACTGCTCTTATGTAGTATCACTGCAACACTGGAAACCCTTCGGTGAAGTATCAATTACCTTTGGACTGAATTGAATGTGTGAGTCGTCCGCGGAGATGCTAGACAGTATTGCTTTGCAAAATAAGTTCTGTCTTTTGGCATCCCCTTCCCAATCCATCCTGCCTCTGCTCTCGTTTCCGCAAGTAGATTCTTAGCTCCTTTGAGAAAGAGAATTTTCAGATGGTAGAGAGGATGGAACCAAAACATCGCGGAATCTCTGGAGCCTTCTGTGAGCTTGGCCCTATACTCCAGAGCTTGTGAAGTAGACCAGGCCTCGGTTTTCCAGCCATGTCAATGGGCTGAAAGAGACGGGGGGCTCTTTTCCTAACCCGCTAGGCTGTCGTGAGATGGGACTTCAAAGTTCTTCCTCAAAGCCACCTTATGGTCATGAAGACATTACTTACAGGCCAGTGCAGCATGGCTGAAATTAGTTATTGATCTGCTAGTATTTACTGTCTTCTCATTGTCTTTGGAAAATGCTTTTGGGGGACCCCTGAAGTCAAGTTTCTGGTTCTGGTTGATTTCATGCTTCCAATATTTCACAATTTATTGAGTATTTTCTCAACTTCTTTGATAGGAACCAGAAGTCTCAGTCAATCTGATGTTTGTAATAGGGGCCTGGTCACCTATTCGCCCTGGGTGCGGCAAGGCCTGTTCTTCCCGGTCCTTGACCCCCTACTGTCCAAGGCTGCTGGCACTTTTTAGGAATCCTGTAGGTTATAATTTGTGACTTCTGGCTGCCAGTGAGCTGGTAGCAGATGGGCTTGGCAGGTGGGGAGTGCTTGTTGGAATGCTGCCGGCTCACCTCCCAGAGGTCAAGCCTGGGGTGTTGGCCACATTCGCTGCATATGATACATGCACATAAATATAAATATATACTCGTATGTACATAATGGTTGCGAATCGATTGAAGACAAGGAGAGATCGGAACATCCTTCAACGTCAAAAAACCCCAAGAGAATGTTGAAAGTAAGCGAAATGATTCAATCAAACAGGCAATTGACTATTAGGGAAATTTCTGAGGATCTGAATATAATATATAATAGAATATATAAATAGAATAGAATATATAAATATATATTATATAATATGTAATATGAAGTATGTATTATATACTGTATATATAAAATACAGCCCTCAGCTGTATAGCTAAGGAAAG